ATGGGAAAGAAGATTCAAGCATCACGGAAGAGTCATGCACCATGGGAAAGAAGATTTATGCATCGCGAGAAGAGTCATGAATCGCGAGAATATTCATGCATCGCGAGAAGAGTCATGCATCACGAAAAGAGTCTTGCATCGCGAGTAGTTCATGCATTGCGAGAAAAATCTTCATGCATTGCGGGAAGGATCTTCATGCATCGCAGAAAAATCACCATTAGCTACGGTTCTCAATGAGGCATCACTTGTATTTTTCAAGGAAGCATTATCTTCATGCATCGCGAGAAGTTCATGCATTGCCCGAAAAATCTTCATGCATCACGAGAAAGATCTTCATGTATCACAGAAAATCACCATCAACAATAGTTCTCAAGGAAGCATCATCTTTATTTTTCAAGGAAGCATTATCTTCATGCATCGCAGGAAATCTTCATGCATTGCAAGAAAACTCATGCATCGTGGAAAAGTGACCATTAACTATGGTTCTCAAGGAAGCACCACTTGTATTTTTCAAGGAAGAATTATCTTCATGCATCGCGAGAAATCTTCAAGCATCACGGGATAACTCATGCTACACGGAAAAGTCATCACCTACTGCAATTCTCAAGAAAGCCAACTCCATACATTGCGAGAAAATTATGCATCGCAAGAAAATCAACATCGTCTCCGTCATTTTCAATGCAAGAACAACATCAATAGAACCATCAACAACAACGTCAACAGAACCATCAACATATTACATCAGCCTGTTTTATTAATTTGATATCAAAGAAAGAGTATATTCAAGAAATATATTGCAAATATGAGATACAAGCTTTATTTGCTTTACGTCAAACTGGAGGAAGCTGACATCAAATGTCCAAGGAGAGCATTGAGTGTCAACATAGTAAAAAACGCTATCTACCCATTTGAATTATATTTTTAGGCTAATGAGTTTGATCTCGCTGTTTCGATGAATTCTCAAAACAAACCAAAGGTGTGGACGATATAAAAAAGGATGCAGCATAATGTTGAACTTTTTCTTAGCAGCAAACTGGGACATAGTCCAAAGAGGAATACTAAACTCCTAGCATGCGAGATGAGGAGCGAATTCCACCACAATCAAACCACACCCCTATCAGAAGCCTTGTGGGTGTTTCTTTAGGTTTATCAGTTTCAGTTTGGCATCCAGAAAGTTTTGATTTTCACCAGTAGCAACTTTCTAATCTGAGTTACAAAACACTAAGAGCTTTGGAAATTATGTCAGTATAAGTTCTTACTTATGGGTGTGAAGTGCACCACATTCATGGCTAAGAGGTTGCAAGTCTCTTTTTCAATCTCGATTCTTTTGTCACTTTTCCAAAATCAAAGGTTATCTTGCATAAGGGATTTCTTTTTCAACCGATCGAGTCGAACTATAAACGGCTTGATTTGTAATATTTAAGGATATGTAAATGGTTTCACTATTGAAAAATCGGTTGTACTCCAACATTTTCTCTGAATCGTTATCCCCGAGCATTCCGGTGCCTTCATAATTCGTTAACGGGGTGGCTTTGAATTCTTTCAAAATCCTGTGTCAAATCAAGCGTATCGAACTACAAGTGGCCTAAATTCTCATATAGCCTGAGATACGTAGGAAACCTATTTTTGGGATTCGGCCATAATTCCTAAAGTACGTACCAAAATCCCTTTCCGAAAGAATGAAGATGTGATCGGTCAAAATTGGATTCGTCAATTTCATTTGCCTCGAATTTCTTTTATCAATCCAAGTCGAAAGAGGGACAATTGTTGACACCGAATTTTGGACCTCCACATTATAGATTAGTCATTGAGCCTCTTTAATTTCAAACGATTTGAAATAATTAGTTTTATAAAATTTCAAAAAAATAATAATATAGTTTGTAGTTTATTTTAAATAGATTTGTTACTTTTTATAATTTTTAAATAATGTATATTGTTTCTATATAATTAGTATATTTTATGAATATTTAAAAATCATCTCAAAAAGATTTTATTTTAATTAAACATTCAATGAAATTAGTTTAATTTAATTTATAATTTTAAGTTATTTAGTTTAATTATTTTATTTCGTCAATTTAAGAAGCTTGCTAATTAATTAGTCTTAATTCATCATATTTAAATTTTAGTCGTATTCACTAAATTAACTCAATTCGGCTATGTTTTGAATTGTATATGGCTATAATTGCAATCCATTTAGCCATTTTGTATTTGCAAATCTAACCTTTTTAACCTTACCTTAATTCAATTTTCTGACATAAATTGGGCCAATTCAGCCGACCCATCAGCTCAACACAAATCCTGCAGTGCATTCTATCAATTTTCCTCTATTCCAGTAGCCCACTTCATAATATACTACCAACCCAGCCCATTTCCCATTCCCAATTCCCAGACCCAATTCCAATTCTCTAGCAGCGTACAACGTCGACCGACCCTTTTCTCCTTCTTCCTCAACACAATCCAGCAGCGAAAGAAAGCTTAGAATAGCGAATTGAACCCAGTGATTCCAGTCACCCGGCGCGTGTCATCTCTCCATCTCTCATTTTTCATTCATACGAGAATATTCTCGAATCATCCAGGTGTCTCTATCTTCTTTTCTTTTCGTCCTTGTACCTTGAATCAGACGAATTTCCTTCAAAATCCATTGGGGGTTCGTACTAATTCGAGCTGGTCAGACTCAACTTCTAAGAAATTCAAATTTTAAATTTTAAAAAATCATCCTAATCCCTCCCGTTTTCCCCCGAAATTTTCCCTAAATCCTATCTATATAAAGCTCCCTTCCGTTCATTTATTGAGGGTGGACAGAGGATGGAGACATAGAACATACAGCTGAAACGGATACGAAATATAGAGTGACACAGAAAGTCACACTCGGTATAGAAGCCAAAATTGAGGCGAATAAAGGGTGGAAAAATAGTAGAAGAGCCAATGCTCTTAACGATTGAGTCATAGGGTCTTGAGTCCGAATTTTGGTTTCCTTCTCGTTCATTCATTGTTCTTCGGAGTTCATTGAAAGCTCCATGCGGTGGTTGGAATCATCCTCGAGCTCACTTGTTTCAGGATTGCTGCTCCTAAAAAGGTTAATTCCTTTTAGCATCTTAAATTATCTTAGTCAAGATGTTGTTTATGTCACGCTTTGAGCCTCTACCTTGGGTGGGACTAGCACTCAAGAACCATTGATGGCCCCAAGCGAACCCTTGGCCTGGCTTATTACTCAGCGAAAGGCTTTGCTCAACAAAGATAACTTCATGAAATAAAGTAGAATGTTATAAAATAAAACCTTCAACTAGCCAATAAGGCAACTCAAGTCTTATAATCAAAACAACTTAAATATTAAGATTAATGAACTAATAACTATCTGTCTATGAAGCCTCTAACACTAATATGGATGTCGGGTTAAGACCCTTGATCATTCTAACAACTGAAATGATAAAGCAGTAATAAAAGGGTCCTCTGAAAAGCAAAGAGACTCACCGAAGGACTCGAAAATGCTCAATAAGATCAATGAAGAGCCGAATGTTGATCTTGGTTACCTGTATCTGCATCACAAAATGATGCAGGCCAAATGGCATGAGTACATTGTATCTACGAGCTTGCGAGGGAAAATCTAGAACAAGACATAAGCTTTAGAGGGAACTGAAAGAACTTACTTGGTCTTAACTCTACTCAACTCATTTCATTTCAATATAAAGCAGTAATAGAAATGCACTATAAGGAAAATCTTTAATACATCTAGATAACAACTCAGTGTATTGAAAAATACAACAATGACTAACTTTGTATATGAAAATACAAATAACTCTATGTATATAAGAATAAAAAATATCTCTGTGGGAGTTTCTCTAACCAACAACCATCACTATGAGCTCTGTGATGATACACTATCTTGCCTCAGAAGGCCAGGGCCGTCCTATACCTTGTCGGGAGTATAAAACCGAACTACTAAGTGGAACCACTAGTCTATGCTAAAAAGCACTAAGGAATCATCTAAAAAGTATGACCCTTTTCTACCCATGTTGGCTACACGGTTTATGGAGACTTTGAATTATCTGAACTCAAGTTGTCCCAAAATCGGTTCTCAATACTACTCCCAAAATGTAACAAGCTCATATGTTTAAAAACAAAACTCTTTCTATAGTTTGAGATAATTACTCAAAGACTAGCTCAAAGGATCTCTTCGAAATCGGTGTTTCCTCTCTTGCTTAAATGTGAAAACATTTACTCTTTGGGAATACTTAATTCTAATATACTGTTTTGAAGAAAATGAACTTCACTTTTTACTCTTACTCAACTCAGAGCTCAAGTCTTAAAACAAGTTTAAAGCATTTGTAAAAATACTTCTTGAAAAGACTCTAGGAATTCTCTAGACTTGGCTGTTAACTTTCCTTGAATTTGAATTTATCGATTAAAAGTTATGATTCATGTTTATGGATGATCTCATAATGTTTATACGCACCTTAGAGTGTAGATATCAATTAGAAAACATAGGTACGATTCAAGGGAACTCAAACGGAAAGAAGTGGGAAAGGGTAGAGGACCTGGCGTCCCTGGCGTATTGAATGGCGCAGGGCGCCAGAGCACTAACTACAGAAGCTATCTTGGGGCACATTGAGTGGCGTGGAGCCCCAGTGGCCAAACTACAGACACTCATCTCTGGCTCATTGAGTGGCGCGCTGCGCCAGACCCCTTCCCAGAAAACCCACGAATTTTCTTATTCATTTTTTTACCCTAAAGCGTGTAGAGTCGATTGGTTTCTTCTCCAAACACTTAGATTCGAATACCCATCCAAATTATACAAGAATCTACTAAAAAAAACCTTAAATCTCATCAAATTCATCTCAAGAACTCCTCCAAAACCCAACAATCAAGATTCAAACAAACCTTCAGCAGAATTCATCACTCATATACTCTACTTTCAACAACGTAAATATGTAGCATTTAATCATGATTTGTGCGTGGGTGAATGAACCCAACGCTATGTGATCTCACATACCTCGTAGGGATTAACCCTTGGCGAAATCTGCAAGCAAAATCTCAAAAACGCGGCGAAACCTTGGCTTTTCTCCTCTTTTCTCTTCTCTCAAAGCCCTAGCGTTAATTTGGAATGTGTAAACTGAACCAAATCAGTTTAGACATCAATTAAATTACAAAAAATGAATAAGACTAATTAGGTTGGGAAAAGACCAAAATACCCCTCTTAAATCTGGGTAATTTTCCTTAACTGGATAGCCCAACTTTGAATGAGCATATCTTAATCACGAGCTTAGAAATTAGCAAACTCGGTGGTGTTGGAAAGATAACTTAAAGACCTTTCATTTGATATCTTATATCCCACCTTAACCACCCTATACTAAAAGTTATGGTCGTTTGAAGTTGACCCAAACTCATACTTAGTATATCTTGCCAATATTTCATAATTTAATCTTTCCAAAAATGATTTCCTTCTATTTCTAGTTTGGTTCTAAGGAGGGATGTTACAATATCTCCCCCTTGGTATCATTCGTCCTTGGATGAGATCACTCTAAGTAGACTAAAGTTGTAACATCTAACATTCAGCTCAAACACACAACAAGCAAATATAACACATTCAGTATATCAATTAAAGAGTACTAAAAAGAGAATTAGTACCTTGATCTGGAATGTCTCTGGACTCAAAGAGATGTGGATTTATCTTCTCCATGTCCTGCTCAGCCTCCCATGTAGCTTCCTCAACAAACTGATTTCTCCATAAGACCTTGACTAATGCTACCTTCTTGGTTCTAAACTTGCGAACTTGACGATCTAGAATCTGAGCATGAATCTCCTCATAAGGTAAGCTATCCTTAAAACCAATATCTTCGGTAGTTATGATAAGTGAAGGATCGCCCATACATTTCTTCAATATAGAACTGTGAAACACTGGATGAACTGCTGGTAACTCTCTCGGTAGGTCCAACTCATAAGTTATATTACCGATCCTTTTGGATATTCTGTAAGGACCAATATACCGTGGACTAGGTTTTCCCTTATTACCAAATCTCATAACACTCTTCATGGGTGAAACCTTCAAGTATACACAATTATCTACTTCAAACTACTTAAGTCTCTTATTCTAATATCTGTATAGGATTTCTGACGATTCTGGGTTGTTTTCAACACTCTCTCCATATCTTGATGAACTAAGTATTGTCCTATCAACCCAGCTTCACTAACCTCAAACCATCCAATAGAAGATTTGCATCTTCTCCCATAAAGAGCTTCATAAGGAGCCATCTAGATGCTAGAATGATAACTATTTTTGTAAACAAACTCAATGAGAGGTAGGTGATCATCCCAATTACCCTTGAATTCAATCACAAAACCCCTCAACGTATCTTCTAAAATCTGAATAGTGTGCTCTTCTTGACCACCTATCTGAGGATGAAAATCAGTACTCATGTTCACCTTTGAACCCTAACCTTTATGGAATGACTTCCAAAATTTTACAGTAAATTGTGCACCTCTATCTGATATAATCAAAACCGGAACTCTATGAACTCTTACTACCTCTTGAATATTTCACTTGGCATAATCCTATGCTGAATGGGTAGTCTCTACGGGCAAAAAGTGGGTTGATTCTTTCATTCGATCAACAATCACCTAAATGGAATCATGATGTCTGCGAGACCTCAGTAAACAACTAATAAAATCCATATTGATCATCTCCCACTTCCATTCCAGAATCTCTATATTTTGAGCCTTACCACCTGGCCTTTGATGCTCTACTTTAACTTGTTGAAAATTCGGGCATTTAGCAACGAACTCAACAATACCTTTCTTCATACCATTCCACCAATATACTTCTCTCAAGTCACGATACATCTTTGTGGAACTCGGATGGATAGAATTTCTGGAGCTATGAGTTTCCTCCAAGATCCTCTCTTGGAGTTCATCCAACCTTGGTACACACAACTTACTTTCACCCCCTTGTTCAAAAGCCATTACTTTTTGCTTATGAACATTTGCCTTCAATTTAAGAAAAATAGGATCTTGGTGTTGTTTTTCTTTCACCTCGGACACTAATGATGATTCAGCCCCATTCATCATCACTACTTATCCTTCGGTGGAATCCATTAGTCGAACTTCTAATCGTGCACGTCTATGCACATTTTTCTCTAACTCTCTATTTTCTTCCTCAACATGGGTGGTACTACCCATACACAACCTGCTTAAAGCATCAACAACCATATTAGCCTTATCTGGGTGATATAGAATACTAATGTCATAATCCTTAAGTAACTCTTACCACCTCCCCTATCTGAGATTAAGTTCTTTTTGACTAAACACATACTGAAGGCTCTTGTGATATGTGAACACATCTACATGAACACCATAAAGAGAGTGGCACCATATTTTCAAAGCAAATACTATGGCAGCCTACTCTAGATCATGGGTTGGGTAATTTTTCTCATGAACTTTCAGTTGTCTAGAGGCATAAGCAATAACTTTACCATTCTACATTAACACACAACCAAGTCCAACTCTGGACGCATCACAATATACCATAAAACCTTGCGTACCTTTTGGTAAGGTCAATGCTGGGGCAGTAGTCAACCTAGTTTTCAATTCCTAAAATCTTTTCTCACAATCTTCAGACCATTGAAACTTCACTATTTTCTGAGTCAACTAAGTCAATGGGGATGAAATAGATGAGAACCCCTCGATGAACCTTCTATAATATCCAGCCAACACCAAGGAACTCCTAATACCAGTTTGAGATGTGGGTCTAGGACAATTTTGCATTACCTCTATTTTTAGAGTATCAACTCTAATACCATCACCAAAAAAATATGGCCTAGGAATGCCACAGACTCAAGCCAGAACTCACACTTATAGAACTTAGCATACAACTCTCTATCCTTTAGAGTTTGGAGAACTATTTTGAGATGGCTAGCATGATCTTCCTCATTGCTCGAATAGATTAGTATGTTATCAATGAATACGATAAAAACATATCTAAATAAGGCTTGAGTACTCTATTCATAAGTTTCATGAATGTTGCAGGAGCATTGGTCAAACCAAAGGACATCACTAGGAACTCATAATGACCATAATGAGTTCTGAATGTTGTCTTAGGGATATCACATTCCTTACTCTCAACTGATGGTAGCCAGATATGAGGTCTATCTTAGAAAAGCAAGTGGCACCCTGATGTTGATCGAATAGATCATCAATTCTTGGAAGAGGATACTTATTATTGATAGTAACCTTGTTCAAATGACGGTTATCTATACACATTCTAAGAGAACCATCCTTCTTCCTCACAAATAAGACTCGGACTAAGTGATAGACACACCCCTTGGAAACTAACTTTCTCGCCCTAAGTACGAAATGAAATGACCCTTAGGCACTATTGAACTACTCTTTCACTCTATAATTGGCTCATTAGGAAACTAGAACTTAACAACTCGAGTTCTACAATCGACTGAGGCATAACACGCATGAAGCCAGTCCATACCTAGAATGACATCAAAATTTACCATGTCTAACTCAACTAAATCAGCCATGGTGCTCTTGTTATTGATGGAAATGGTACAATCACGATAGACTCTCTAAGCCAGAATAGACTCACCAACAGGTGTAGAAACACTGAACGGTTCAAGAAGTTTCTCACGAAGAACATTAAAATTAATTGCAACATATGGGGTCACAAAAGATAGACTCGCTTCTGGATCTAGCAAAGCATAAACATCAAAGTTAATGACTTGGATCATATTAGTGACAACATATGGTGAATCCTCTTCCTCTTGGCGACTAGTGATAGCATACAGACGGTTCGCTCCTCTAGATGCAGCTCTGTCTTGTTGGGAAACTGAAGAAGCTTGGGATCTATTCCCCCCATTACCATTTCCTTCTCTGTTCTTAGGGCATTCCTCTATAAAATGACCATTCTGACCACAGTTAAAGCAACTAGTGGAGCCATCACGACACACCCTTGAGTGGTTCCTACCACACTTAGCACATGAAGGAGTCCCATTACCCACTTGTTCCACCTAACCCTGAGACTACGCTGCTCTAGCTCAGAAATTTTGGGAATTCTGATTTTCCAACTCACCTATGTTCCTTGGTGTAGGTTCACTAGCAGATGATGGAGCAAGACCCTTTTCTTTCTCTTGGAAAGATGACCGGTTGGCATTACTCTTATGTTGTCCGAACTCATTCCCTATCATAGCTCTCTTGTTTCGGAACTCATCCCTATCTCTCAGCTTTTCTTCCTCAACCTGTTGCACATGGATCATCAACCTTGCTATGTCCATATCTCTTATCAGCATAGTTGCCTTCCATTCCATACTTGATAGACGAGACAACCCAGCAACGAACAAACTCATCTTGCTTCTGATGTCTGCAACCATCTCCTGAGCATAATGGGAAAGTTGGGTGAATTTCAAAATGTACTCATGAACACTCATAGATTCCTGCTTAAGGGTGAGGAATTCTCATACATTTTCTTCTCTTAGTTCACGGGGAAAGAAACTCCCCAGGAAAGCCTCCTCAAACATAGCCCAGCTCACAAGTGGTGCACCTTCAACTCTATTCTTTTTGCATTGATCAAACGAGATTCTAGTGACACCCTTCAATTGGTATGCGACTAGTTCCACCCTCTCAACATCAACAATGTGCATAATCTCAAAAACCTTCTGAAGTTCCTCTACAAAGTTTTATGGATCCTCAGTGACACTTGAACTAGTGAAGCTTGGATGATTCATCCTTAAGAACTCACGGATCCTAGAAGTATCAGCAACTTCCTATCAATTTTCTCTCTGTCCAACTTTATTGGTCACAACTTAACGAAACATCCGGAAAGCTTCCCGGAACTTTGCATTGGTGACCTCTTATTGGGTTTGCACTTCTGGTGCATTAGGTACCCCTTGATCCTGTGGTTCAACATTCCTTCTAGCAGGACAACCTCTGACAGCTCTTCATTAAGGCATGATCTAAAAGACGCGCAAGCACGAATTTGAAAAAGCTTTTTAAAGATAAACTCTATTGCACGAAATGAGTATGAAAGAAGTGAGATAGGTTCCTAAATGTCGCAGTCTCCTAATTATAGATGTGGTGCGCTTCACACCGATAACTAGGACTCTACAAATATGGCTTCATAGACTCCCTAGGACTCTTAAACTCTGGGCTCTGATACCAAGTTTGTCACTCATAAAGCCTACACCCTAGGCGGGAGTGGCACTCAAGAACCATTGCTGGCCCCAAGCAAACCCTTGGACTATCTTACTACTCAGCGGAAGACTTTTCTCAACAAAGATAAGTTCATGAAATAAACTAGAATGTTATAAAAGAAAACATTCAACTGGTCAATAAGGCAAGTCAAGTCTTATAATCAAAATAACTGAAATATCAAGACTAATGAACTAATAACTCTCTATATATGAAGCCTATATTACTAAGAGGGATGTCAGGACAAGACCCCAAATCATCCTAACAACTGAAATGATAAAGCAGCAATAAAGGGGTCCCCCGGAAAGCAAGGAGGCTCACCAAATGACTCTGAATGCTCAACTAGATCAACGAAGCGCTGGATGTTGATCTTGATTACCTATATTTGTATAATAAAATGATGCAGGACAAATGGCATCAGTACATTGAATGTACGCGCATTCGAGGGGAAATCTAGAAAAAGACATAAGCTTGAAAGGGAACTGAAAGAACTTACCTGGTCTCAACTCAACTCATTTCATTTTCAAAATAAAGTAGTAATATAAATGAACTATAAGGAAAACCTTTAAAACATGTAAATAACAACATAGTGTATTGAAAAATACAACATTGACTAACATTGTTTATGGAAATACAAATAACTCTATGTATATAAGAATACAAAATATCTCTGTGGAAGTTTCTCTAACCAACAACCATCACTATGAGCTCTGTGATGATACATCGCCTTGCCTCATGCCGCAAGGACCGTCACTTACCTTGCTCGTGGTATATAAGCTAACTACTAAGTGGATCCACACGTCTATGGTAAAAATCACTAAGGAATCATCTAAAAAGTATGACCCT